AGATGAAAGACTTTAGACAGTTTTTCAACTCTCAGTAATGCCATAGTGATCGTTTGATATATGGACCTGCAGCGGAGTTTAGGCCCAGACACGGCTAGTGACGTCAGACTTAACGACCGGATAACAAAATATCTTAACTGCTAGCTAAAAGTACATGACATTGGCTCTAGTGATATTCATGTCATGATCATAGGTCAAAACTGAGAAGAGACGTGCATGTTTAAATAAAGGAAAGGAACACGTTTTTTTTAAGACCTGATATCCAAGAACTCTCCAAGGACTGAAAATTCCCACAAGCTGTCACTTGTATTTTACATAAATAACAACAGTTAGCCTCTATTTTTTTTTTTTATAAAATATGTTGGGCTGTTCCAGCCTTTGCAAATTTGTAGAAATACTGCATTATTGTATTTTTTCATTACTTCAGTCAGTGACTATCTGCCCAGAACTTAAAGGATCTATTTTATCTGTTACCTGAAACAAGCCACTTGAGTTCACTTTTTTAATGTTAAGCCAACTCTCTTCTGATTGGTAAGGTATCCCCCCTCCATGAAATCATACTGTACAGAAAGTAGAAAAAGCCTTAACAAGCAGACTGACGCATAGGATTTTGGCTCACACTGACAACATGTCCTTACAATACTTTGTCTATCACACATCCCTTTATCTGACCCTGCTCAGTGTGTCCAAGCAACAGGCTGTGATTCCCAGTCAGGTCTTTGAGCTGGGTGACGGCACCTGCAGCTACCAGGACTTTAGTCTAACAAGGAACAACCGCTTCAGCAGTGCACAGAGCAGCAGGAACATCATCCAGCCACCCGCCACTGTGCTGCACTTCTACAATGCCCCACCAAACCTCAATCAACACCAGTTGCAAAAGGCAAGGCCACACCTGCATGAGACTTATTATTTCAATGGAGAAATGCTCGACTTAATGTCTACTCCAAGTGAGCTTTCTAAGTAGAAAAGTATGCGCTCCACTGTGGCACGCCTTGAACTTTGAAAGGATTATTCAAAGATAATGACTGGTATGTTGGTTGTTTGTTTGGAAGCATCTTTATTCACACATAGAAAGAAACGTTATTTTCTTTCTGCTCAGTGTACGTAACAGAATAGACAACAAATAATTACTATGGAATAAATAGATGGAATAGACTTGTTACTATATATAGTCAAGTCCTCATCTTGACTATATATAGATATATAAAATAAAATAAACAGTAAATTAAACTTTCTAAATGTTTTTGATTTTACACAATAAAATCAAATAAACCTATAAACCTAAATAAACCTAACCGATGTCAATAAACCTAGTATAACCTTGTTCAGGGAGATTTAATCTTCAAGTTACTCAGTTTTGCCTGTGGTCTTAAGATCACTACTGTAAACGTATTTTCAGCAGTGACAACCAACATTGACAACCAACACTTTTTGTCAAGTTTTAGTTTGGTTTTATATTAACAAAAGAAAATGCAGGAATTGCTTTTAAAAATGCTTTTCTATCTTTCTTGCCAACAGCTCTGTACTGAATACAACATTTCAGCATTCTCTAAGTTCAAGATTTTTGATGCCAAACGTAAGTTTAACCAATTAAGCAGCGATAATAACTCCTCAGGTCCAGGCATCAGGAGATATCATTCAGTGTGTACACGTGTGGTTTTTGTTGTTATAAACATTTCCGTCTTTCCCCCATCTTCCTCTTCCTCTAAGCAGCCAGCTCAAAGACTCTGTCTGGTCTGTTGGAGTTTGACAGTAAAACTGAAGCTGTGGAGGCTCTGACAGTCCTCAACCACCACCAGATCCGAATACCCAGTAAGTATTCAAATGATTCTCAGCCTGTATCAGAACTGCTGACAGCAGCAGCTTCTCTGAGGGCCTCAGTCACAAGTCGAGAGAATATTCTCCCACTTTTGAAGTGTTTACTGAAGGTTGCTGGCAGTCCCTGTGAAACCAGTCGCTAAAGACATGTTCTGATATTGCTTCAGAAAGTGTGAAAGAGGGTCCAAGACATGCAGAGGATGACTGAGTCAGACTTAAAGCAGAATGTTTATTGGCTGGTACCAATAATCAAAAAGAAACATAAATTCAAAAGGGTAAACTGAAAACTATTAACCACGAGGAAGATCACTAGAGTTACTAGGAAAAACACACTGTCAGTGAGGACAAGGGGAAAGAGGATGACAAGACACAGCTTATTATAGTAAAATATATAATATAATAATATATATATAATATAAAATAAAGTCATGCAGTAAGGATTACTGAAATAGGATAGTTACAACAATCAGAATTAATTATTTTGTCTTCAAGTTAGAAAAAATAGATAAGACAAATTAAGACTAGTTACCTAGAATGAAGGATGAAGTTAACAGACAAGATGAATGGGTTTCAAGGTCCTGATCACTCTAACATAAGGTATAATGTTTTGTTCAGTTCCCCTTTCTTTCAGCATGGTCAGTGCAGAGTGCGGCCTCTCATATGAGATTATCTAACACTATTAGATGAGGCTTTACATAGGTTGGGTAAATTAAGTAAAGAAAATAGGACGCCATCAAACAGATAAGCATTATTCAAACTTCAGGACAATACAAAGTGTCTCATATGTTGATGTTAAACTGAATGTCAGGAGTGGTCTTTCACAATAAAGTCAACATCTTTTCTCCAACCTGCAGATAGCTCCAGCCCTTTCACCCTGAAGCTCTGCTTCTCCACCTCCTCCCATCTGTGACCCAGAAACAAGATGACCTGGACAAACTGCAAAAGAGTTTATTTGTTCCTTGAAACAATTCTACTTTTTCAATGGATGATTGCTGTGTGGTCAATGTAGAAAAAAAAGATTTTAGCAATAAACTAAATAAGTGACACCCTTGAATATTAGATAATTGAGCCAGACTTTTCTTTGTTAACATTTGTTAATATTTCATCTCATAGTTTCGGTGTAATTTGTTTGAATGTAAAGTGTTTGAATTAATTGAATTCCTTACAGGGGCTTAAAATGGAGTACACTAGGAAAAATCTAATGGGAAGCAATTAGGAACATTTGTGCTTAGTTCTGTGTTCAGTCCAAAGACAAATGAAGATAACAACCTTATTTTATTTGTGTAATTAAAGAGAAAATAGAGAAAGCTTATATCATTATTAAAGCCCACCTGCATCAAACCTTTGCCTCAACTTAAAAATATGAAAAAAGCCTTTTAATAAACTTAGATTAAATCAAAAATACAGTTTGTTCTAAAACTACTAAACCACTGCTGAACTCATTTAGTAGTTCTTTAAAGCTAAACAGCAACTTCAATTAATAAATTCATGTCTGTTTAAAAAAACAAATGTCTGCTTTTATTATTACTGCGAGTGCCCTGATGTTGTATTTACTCTTCCCATCATCAAAATTTAAATAATATTTTGTAAAGAAGGTGCTGGGTGTAACTGCTGTAAAGTACTGTGTAATGTTCACTATAAGTAAAACATTAACCCCAGGAACATTTATGCACTTTATGGTTGTTGATGAGTACTGCTCGCACTTCCAGTTGTTGGATTATATAGCATACCTTCTTTTCCCTGGATATTGTTGTCTAATGCTGTCTTCCAAACTTTTTCAATCAAACCTTAAATACACTGCTTAAACCAAACTAATTAATTTTTGCTGTGATGTATTTGTGTTATGAAAGGACGCTGAACAGCAACAGAGTTAA